AAGGCCCCCCTTCTGAAGCATCCTGAATTTCCTCTTTGAGGTGTACTCGACTTCCACAAGGTGTTGGATGTTGGCAGTGAGTAGTCTGGTCATGTCTGCAGTGGTGTATGTAACAGTTTGGTCGTAGGTATACTTGACTGTTCCATCCTGGAGGTGCTGATGGATTTCTGAAGACAGCATTTTGTTCTTATACTGCTTGTTGTGTAGAAGTATACACCCTTCAGGCATCGGACTTGTTGTGGTGCAGCAGTGTCAGTGGCAGTGGCACCGTGAGGTGCATCTGCAGTTTCTTGTGTTTTTGCTTTCTTGGCTGGTGGCTGAACTAGTGAAGGAGAGATTTCTGACTGGTCAGTTGCTCTAGCAGTGGATGCAAGCGGTAGTGGACTCTCATTGATGAGGTTTGCCGACGTCTCAGTGGTCTCAGTGGTGCTGCGTTCCTCGTTTGTGACTTAGGTCGAGTGGTGACATGTGCTTACCTAACACATCACTTACTCATCGACGATCTCGCCTCTCTCGAATTACCTTGTGTTGGGAGAGACTTCGCTTAGAGTAGTGCTTGCTGGGCCTTCGTCTTCCTCCCCACCATCAGGATTGGTGCATCAGTGGTTGCCTACCCAAGGGCAGGAAGCCTGTTGCTGCCTGAATCCTCTTCGCCTGTTGACTGCACACCATACAGCCAGTCTTGCCGCCACTCAGGATACACAGTGCTCCATCAAGCTACAGTTCACCTCCTCAGTGTCCTGCACCAGGCAAGTATGTGTATCTACTTACACGTACTTGCCTAGCTGAGTACTCTCACTTTTTGGCCGATTGTCACTGCCAATTTCATTTTCTCGTAATTAGACGATGCCTTCGTTGCCTTTTACCTCCCACCCCCCTTCCACTCTCCCCCAACCACCCACACCTGCCTCTGCTTCTTCTAAATCCAATTCCTTCTCGCTAAACCTCAAATTCTCTAATCCTGATCTCACTATCTATCCTGAAAATTTATTATATCAGATCACTGGTGCACCTCAAAACCAACTCAGGCTTCAAACTCCTTCTTGACAAACATTCCTACGAAACATACACCTCAACCGATACCAGACAAAAACTTCTCAACGCAGGCTTCGCCATTATTTGGACTCCTGAGCACTGTGCCAAAAGCACAGTCATTGCTAAACACGTAGACTACTCTCTCCTGATAGCCTATGACACAGACAAAGAAGACTTAATAAAATATATCAGTACTAAGAACAAGGTCTCTGATGACGATATTTACAGACCCGAAAACTCTACCATTCTCAAAATACGCTGTTCTACTCCTGCTGATGCCTCTACACTCTTCAGTCAAGGAATCTTTGCCAAGACCATCCACATTCCTCCAAACTCTCTCTTCACTCCGAACTTCCACCCCAATCACACAATGTCTTAAATGTTACAAATTCGGCCACAACAAGTCTGCTCCAGATGTTCAGCAACTGGCCACTTCTGGAATACTTGCAACCTCCCCCTTAAATGTTCTAAACTGTGGCAGGTCACACACTGCAGTTGAAAATTCCTGCCCTTCTAGAAAGCACATTCTCTCGTCCCTCAGAGCAAGCCAACTCCCTCCCTCCCCAACCCCTTCCCTGCCCCTTCCCTCCCCTTCCATACCTCCCTCCCCTACCCCCAATACCTTGGCCTCCCCACGCACTTGGTCTACCTCTCTACTCTACTACACACATCAAACACCAACACACAGACTACAAGCACTTCTTCTACACCTACACCCACACTAGACTACAAAACTAACTGTCAACTCGCCACTGCTGCCCACTCTGGAATGGTAATCTCACAAGCATACCAATCAGACTACTCACATGTCCTTAACCTAATCTTGTCTGCTAACAATCTTCCATCTTTAATTATCCCTCCTTCCTGCTTCTCTTCAAGCCTCCTAGAACCTCTCCCTCCTGCCTCTCTCCCACCCCCCCACTTCCTACTCCCTCCAGCTTTCCTCCTCTCCTACCCCTCTTCACTAC